AAAGAAAAAAACGACGGAGGTTCTGGTAGCCACCCAAACAGATGAGTTTGGAACAAGTTTCCAAGAATGGAATCGCAGATTTGACAAATGTATTAAGTGTGATGGAGAGTACTTTGAAGGTGATAAGGCAAATTTTGTAAGAAAATTTGAATACATAGCTTTGGGGGGGAAATTCCTTTTTTGCGGGGGGTAACCGCCCGTATGTACATAAAAGCTGGACAATGAATAAAGGAAGAATTGAAGCCTTGAATGAACGGTGTTGGTGAAGAATATTGATTTACCAAGAACTGCCAGAAGGACGATCTAGTCTGTCTTAGAAGAAGTACAGGCGATGTGTGGATTGTGATAAGAGTTGTATGAGCCCCTAATAAAACGATTTTTTAAAAAAGGAGATACAATGGGGGAAAAAAAGTACAGTCAAGAGGTTCCTTCGAAGGAAGGTTGCATGGCTTCATCTTACATATTTTGGTCATGTTATCAGGAGGAACTGATTCCAGAGAAGGACCTCCTATTTGGTAAAATAGAGAGCCAGAGAAAAAGAGGAGGTCCCTCCCTAATGAGATGGATTGGCAAAGCGGCTGCAACAGTATGAGGCTGGTGCGGATCGGACAGTGCTTCCTTCTGTTATCCAGCAGAGCATCAGACGGACTTGATGGTCCCTACCAAGGATGGCTCACTTGATGAGAAAATGAGATGCCCTGCTTGGTTTGCTGCACCAACACAGATGCTTCTGGCTTACAGTCGGGAGCCCTCTGCACACAGCGTCTGATGTCCTTGGGCGGCCAGACGATTGCTACAGGTTTTCTCCCAGCCCTTTCTGAAGGACATCACTTTGTTAGCAAGTAAACAAGTTGACAAATGAAGAGATAATTTAGCGTTTTGTAAAACTCTTGCTACTTTGGTTCTACTCATTTAATTTTAGGATTTATCTAAAAACAAATGCGAAGTGATTTTATGTTAACTGCACAATAAAATTTTAAATATGAACAGATTTGGGAAAGCGTTATCCATTGAGTGTAGAAACATTTATTCTGCATTATCTGACTCAAGCATGCTATTTGAATTTAGAAGACATTTGGGTAGCTATAGCCATTCTACACAGTTTTTAAAAGACTACGTCTAAAGGAAATAGAGCTGCTCTCTTTTCTTGCTGTGGAGCCCGTGTGTGTTACTGACTGCCAGCGTCATAACAGAAGCAGGCCTGCTGCTAGGCCTCCAACCTTGCAGTGAGCAGCCGCACCCCCTGGGCCAACCCCCCACCCCCTGGTACATAGGAAACTCAAGAAAGCCAGCAGCATTTAGCAGATGGCTGGTCAAGCTGTGACCTTGGAACAAAACGCTGTGTCACTCAGAAAGCAGATGCGTGCCTTCAATTTTGTTCCTCCCAAGTTCTAATTCACAACTGCCACTCAGTTTGCTCTGGAATTCCCCAAGTGATAATGTTTTCATTTTGTACGCCCAATAGAAATACTTTTCATAAATGATATTGCCGATCATATACATAGTAAAACATTCAAACAAACAAACCAGAATCATTTTCATGGAGTTTATTCCGACTCATAGTGACCTATAGCACACTGGCCCCTGTGGGTTTCCAAGACTAAATGTTTACAGAAATAGCAAGCCTCTTCTTTCTCCTGCGAGCTTCTGGTGGCTTCAAGCTGTTGACCTTGAGGTGAGCAACCCAGCACGTAACCCATGATGCCACCGGGGCTTCTAAAACATGAAAAAGGGGAGGTTAAAGATGAAAGCCACAATATTTTAATAATAATTGTTGTCTTATTAATAATTGCAAAATATAAGGATGCTGCTTTATTCTTTAAAAGCTTGGCCTAACATTTTGTGATGCAACTCTTCAGAGACCGGGTTCTAAATTCAGTCTATTTTGCTGCTTGGTTTTATTGGCGCTCAAAGCCTCCATCAAAATGGCGAAGATTGGGCTGTACTTTGAAATCACACACACACAAACATTTTTTACCCCCCTTGTTCAAACTTATTCACCACACAGGAAATGTTTTGTTGAAATTTCTGCAAAGAAATTCCCTAGTATAGTTCCATCTATTTTCTTGGAGACTAATCAGAATGTATTGCATTCCTTCACTGCTAATTAAGGTGTTCCCAAAAAAATCTCAGAAAATCCTCATTTGGAGGATTTCTCGAAAAGCCAGGACATTCCTGTTCCAGCTTTTAAAGCACACAGATATGAAAGGTTTTGGTTTGTTTTTCAGGTAATATGAATTTTGGCCACAGCAAACTCATTTAACAATGGGAATAGTTTCAAAGCTCTCTCCTTGAAGTACCAGACCCTCTTCTGTAGTACAAGACCATCATCTGTGTCCCAGAACAGCAGCTTTGAACATGTAGTCAGACATTTTTATTTTAGGGGCAGAGTGGGGTGGGTCTTTGTTTTGCTTTCCCCTCTAACCGCTCATGGCTTTCCCTCGTGGTTACCACAGGTAAGTGCTTAGTGTTACACCATTCTCTTTTATTAAAAGAGCCCTGGTAGTGTAGAAGGTTTCTTGTTGGGCTGCTAACCACAATCAGCAGTTCAAAACCACTAACTGCTCCTGGAAGAACAATGAGGCTTTCTACTCCTGTAAAAAGTTATAGTCTCAGAAACCCACAGGGGCAGTTCTAGCCTGTTCTATAGGGCCACTGTGAGTCAGAATTAATTCAATGGCAGGTTTCCTTTCTAGCCACTTAGAATCTCTTATAAAAAGATGCTTTTTCATTGTATACGTTATCACTTAATTGAATCTGTGTCAGTCACAACTGGGGGTTAGGGGAGATGGAAAACCAACTTAGGAAAGTCTCTCTCGTGTGAGACCGCTCGCATCCAGGACCGTGAACTGTTCCCAGGTGTCTGCTTCACTGTCCGCTTGCTTTCTCCGTAAGGGCTCTCCTCTCCTTGCGTGCACACTGCCTCCGTGTGGGAAGCGACTGCGAGAGGCCCTTTTTGCTAGCCCCTGTCTGTACAATCCCATGACAGCATAGGCAGGGATGCGACTGCACGTGTGCGGTGGCCGGCTGTTGTACAAAAGTAACAAAACATAACTCCATTTTATTTCCCCCATTGTGACTTTTTGTAGAGCATGCAAGCTGCAAGATGTCCTACAGATGAATTATCGTTAACCAACTGTGCAGTTGTGAATGAAAAGGATTTCCAGTCTGGCCAGTGAGTATCTGACTCTGTTCCCCTCTAACCTGCAAAGTGTTATTTGAGAAACTTGTCGGGAGTCCCTCTTCCTAAGGATTTCCACTCCCATCAAGCTTTCCGGTCTTGGTGGCCCATAGGGGCTGTTCTACTCTGTCCCGTAGGGTCACTGTGAGTCTCCGTGGCAGTGAGTGGGACAGAGGTAGAATTGGTCATCAGCTGCTGGGTAAGGGACTTAGTCTATAAGGTTTGTATTAACATTGTTTCCAGTCCCAGAAATTCTGTGATGAGGAAGTGAACATGGAACCTTCCACAAAGAAACTGAAATATAATCAGTATGAGAACTTATTCTTCTGTGGAATTCATGTACAGATTTCAGATGTTCACATACTGACGATAGAATGACTTAAAATATAATAGATCAAGAACTCGTGAATTGATCAGGAACTCGTGTGCTAGGAGCAAAATGATCTATGAGGTGGCTTCAAAAAGCTCATGGAAAAATGCCTTTCAAAGGTAATAGACTTGCCCCCCAACTCTTTGAATCCCCCCTGGGGAAAGCTTCATGAATAACATTAGGAAATGATAGCACTAGAAACGATATTTTTCAAGAAGATCGTGCTGCTGCCTAGTAGTTTGGAGCTTCCACTTCACTCGCAGACCTTGCTCGCTTCCCGCCGTCAGAGATCATGTCATGGGTGGTTGCTTCCATGGGCAACTTTCCAGCAGTACAACATTCATGGAAATAATTGACATTTACATGAGAGCCAGTGTGGTTTGAGAAAATTATTTCATTCTGCCATCTTTCTAATTTCACAGATTGTTATTGCTTCAGTCTTGTGTCTGCAAAGAGATGTCGTGACTAATCCTAAAAACGAAGACACATGTTCCTGACACATCTAATTTTATTCTCTCCCTGGTATATTATTGGGGCATGAAATAATTTTCAGAAGAGAAAGTTTGCATGGTCTGTACCCAGTTATCAAGGACCCTGATTGGCCTCAGTTTGGTGTAAATTGGGACTGTGATGAAATTGATAGATTGATGGTGTTTTCTGTTGGGGTTAGCCAGATGTGACTTGTGTGTTCAGCCCAAGGTGCTCTGTGCAGCCTAGAAAACGTTTGCATTGCGCTCAGTTTGGGGAAACCATGTTTGTTGCACTTCTAGGTTTTCCAGGTCTTGTAGGATCCCATGTTTCCACCGGGTGTTTGCCCAGTGGCAGTTGTTGGAAACGAACACCCTGGAAACTGGTGGTCTTTATTTCCTTTGGTGTGCACCACTGACGGTGCTTCTGTCTTTCAGGCACGTGGTCGTGCGGACCTCTCCCAACCACAGGTACACGTTTACCCTGAAGACCCACTCCTCCGTGTTCCCAGGGAGCATTGCCTTCAGCTTACCCCAGGTAATTTCTCTGCTCCTGCCTTCTCTTCTCTTCTTGGGAGTCAGAGGAACGGCCGCTCATTGCAAGCAAATGCCACCCGAAATCTGAACTGGCTCCTATGGAAGAAGCACCTGCTGTTGCATGAGGGTTAGAGAGCTGTCCTGAATGGTCTGTCTCATGATGCTGCCTTGCCTTCTGCTTTGCTGACTTAAAAACATTCTGCAGTAATCTCAGTCAAGGAAAGACACACCACCGCACAGCTATTGAGTCAGTGCTGCTCATAGGGAGGTCCGGTGGGCTTCCAAGCCTATAGCTGTTGACAGGAGTAACAGGCCAGTCTGTTTCTTAAGGAGCTGCCTCGGGGGCTTTCAGACTGCCAGCCATTCGGATCACAGCCCAATTCGTAACCACTGCACCACCAGGGCTCCTGTCAATTAGCTGTCAGGTAAAACATCAAGTTAGTGCTAATGTGAACTCTGAAGGAGACAGAATATACAAAAATTACATATGATTTGTAAAATTGGTATATAATAATATTGGTTGTAAAATGTAATGATACCAAACTAATGAATATGATGAGAGTCATGTTTATCTCAAATTATCACTCAATACACAGGTTTCCTAATGGCCAGAAGGGTGGTGGCTGTTACAACGCTGGGTGGAGTATCTGGCCGGGAAATTGCTTAGCATCGCCCCAAGCATTACATACGGGCACACCACGAGATTTGTCTGTAGGCCATTCTCCCGAGGCACACCCTCATGCAGAGAGCCTCACAAGCCTAAGCAGCGTGAAGGTGACCCTCCCCTTCTACTGCACTCTCATAAGCCTTCTCTAAGTCTTCACACGCCAGTGCCTCTTTGTTGGACCGCTTCTCTGTGGTCTATAAATTACAGGTTTGGCACGCTCCTATCCGTTTTCACAGAGCTCTGCTTAGGACTCTGGGGCCAGGAGTAGCTTGAGGTGGGGCTATTTCTCCTTGTCTCGCTCCCTTTTTAAAAACTTCATCCACATTTACCGTATTTCAGCACTTTTGCATTTGTTAGCTCATTGAATTCTTACACCCACCCTATAAGGTAGGTGTTGCTATTATAATGTAGTTCCTGGGTGCTGCAAACCATTCATGTGCTTGGTTTCCGACCCAAAGGTTGGAGTTTTAAGTTCACTCAGAGGTACCTCAGAGGAAAGGCGTTGGCAGTGTGCTTCCAAAAAATCAGCCCGTGAACACTCTGGGACGCACAGTTCTACTCTGCCCACCTTTCCTTTATGTGGCTCCAAAATGGTGGCTTCTCGGCTATAGTATTCCTTTCACTCGACAGCACTGGTTTATCATCACCTTCCAGGGAGGCTGCCTTACAGATCCAAGCACAGAACTGAAATGTGACTTCCTTGTGACTCAGAGTCTGGGCTTTACACAGCATGCTGCCAAAGTCTAGGCTGGCAGAAAGTAGGACGACATGCTACGGAAGTCCATCTGGGGAGGAGAAGGACAGAGAGAAGCAAGGGGTGTATTGCAACTTCTAGACTACATACCAAAACCCACAGTGTTCAGATGGGTAGGCAAGATTCTGATTTTCAGCCCCCAAATTATTTCTCACTGTTCTTTGGAGTGTTCCCAATAATTGGTCATTTTGAATTTCTATTAAGCCAGTTCCAAATTCCTTCCTAGACACACTCTGGCTTGGCTCTGTGCATTCTGATCATTTTAACTAGTGAAGACTTGGGGAGGCTAAATTCTTGTTGTCACTGCCTGAAAATCCTTTGGCTGCTAAACAGACAGTTGTGAATATGGAACAATTTGATTCCCTGCTTGGGTTCCATGGAGATTATCATCTGATAGCATTTTATTGCGTTTCCAGTGAAGGTTTCCACAGCAGTCTAGGTTCCCGTCAGCAACTGCTGCACAGTGTTCAGTGACAGTGGTTCCAGAATGGGTGGACGTTCTCATGTTTTCCTTCTGGTTGTTCCACCACCGTGAATCTAGTTTCCCTACCTCCTTCCATCCTCATCTTTGTTTTAAGGTTATTGTTGACTGTTTGATCTCATGTAGGTGGTTTTTTGAAGGAGCATAGTACCAACATGTGAGATTCATTATTTTGTGACTCTACATGTACTTACAGTAGTTTAGCTACACGGTGACCTCAGGGGTTTGGGTTCAAGCTTTAAAGAGTTATCTTCTGGCAATTGCCTTAGAAAGTTCTGTAGTCTCAACTAGTTCAGTAAGTCTAGGGTTTTATTTTGTTTTGCTTTTAGGAATTTGTGGTTGTTTCACATTTTTCTCTCATTTTATCAGGGTTCAACCACTGTGGCCCTGCTTAGAATGACTGGTAATTGGCCTTGGGTAGATGATGCCGTTGTTCTTGTAGACTTTGTCTCGTGCAGTAGTTCTCAACCTTCCCAATGCTGTGACTCTTTAATAGTTCCTCATGTTGTGATGACCCCCAACCATAAAATTATTTTCTGTTGCTACTTCATAACTGTAATTTTGCTACTGTTAAGACCTTCAGGAGCATGATACTGTGCAAAGGTGTACCCTGCTCTGCGGTGTTGGCTTTACTGCAAAGAGATATGCCTTGTGTATTTAGAGGACAGATGTTCAAATCCACACTGTAGCATGCCATATTTTGGTCTTGGACTATGTTCTTGAAGGTCATGGAAATTTCTTTTTGTCATTTCTCTACTTTTGATTGACTTGGTTTTAAGTGTCTTTTCCCCCTCTCTTTAAAATTTTATAGCGGAAATGGGCCGGACTTTCTATTGGACAAGAAATAGATGGTAAGTATGCATTTTAGCTACCTGATTTGCTTTATAGTTTTCATGCAGCCACTGAGCTCTAGACCAGTTCTCTATCACTGTCAGGCTAAGCGTTCCTGCTAGTCAGATGACTGGTTAGGCTCATGAGAATGGAAAGGACATGGCTAGGGGCCCCACCTCTTTCTCTGCCTTCCTCTCTGCCTGGAAGTGACAATATCATCTAATATTCATAGCTCCCAGAATATATACAAGGAAAACATGTGCAACACCATTATTTACTATTTACCATAGGAGCTCTCGGTAAAAGTGCTAAGATAAAAAAAGGTGAATGAATTGTTGCGAGACCAGGAAAATAGCCAGAGAAGCCTTCCTGTGCATTGGAGTTCTGAAGAAGGTCAGGAAGTAGGTAGAAAGCACCAGGGTGACAGGCTTTTAGAATGAAAAATTGTGTGAATAAAGTGTATAGGGGCTGGGACAAGCACGTCATCGAGGTGCTCAGGCAGTCTCTTTCTGGTGGAAAGGGGAAATCTAAGTGGGCTGTAGCCAGTGAGAGTAGAGTATGAGCAGAGGGTCTAGAGTACATACCAGATCTCTGGGGAGCTACACAAAGGACACTTTTTGCGGATTTCTGAATGATTCCACCAAAACCTGACCTTTGGAGAGGGATTCACGTTTTGCTGTGGAGCGTAGTAAAGAATGGAGAGAAGTCGTGAGCTCAGAGGACAGTCTGGAGGTCAGTTGATTTGTCGGCAGATAGTGCAGTTTCCCGTGAACTCTTGGAAGGTCCCTAGTGTATTTTTCCCCCTGAATCATTTGAGACTAAGTTGCAGAAATCATGCTTCTTTACCTGTATATGTATACTTTGCGAGCACAAGGGAGCTTCAAAAAGTTCTTGGGAAAATGGAAAGATAAGGAATTTCCCCACAAACCTTTTGAAGCCCCCTCATATTTCCTAAGCTCAGAGATGTGCTCTCACAGTATAGTTCTCAAATTCAGGAGATTAAACACTGGTACTTCTTTCTAACCTATAGTTCGTACTCCAGACTTGCTAATTGTTCTAATTATCTCCTTTATAACATTTATTTTCATGTTTTATGGATACAGGTGTTTAAGGCACAGAATCTTTCTTTCATCATGCTGGTAAAGCACATCCATTTCTTGGCTTTCAGAAATTCTCTGCTTTCTGTTTATAACCCCTTCCACTCAGAATCTCTCCCTAGGGGAGTCCATATCATGACGTTGGGTTTATAACAGTCACCTTTAAGTAGTTCTAGTTCCCAGCTATATCTTTGGAAACACTGATATAAATGGTTCATAACACCTTCTCACTTGAAGCATCTTGAGAAGCTGAGAAAGTAGAAGAGTTTAACACTGAAGTGAAGTAGGTCAGTGTCGATCAGCGTTCCCAAAAGTGTTTCCCTGGGACCTGCTGGAATGATCCAGAAGGAGCTGAAAAAGTAGATACTTACACTTTATCTGGGATTGTGGGCTGTTGTTCAAATGTTTTTAATGGCCAGGGGGACTCAGTAATTTTTTTTTTTTTTGAAAAGGGGATATTAGGCCAAGTAAGTTAGGAAGCCTTACAGGTAGACCAGTGTGATCCAGATCCCCTCATTTTGTAGATGTGGAAATTCAGGGGGCCTAGGACTCTCTATCTGTAGGGTTTGACCATGATAAAAATGAACATTGGTAGAAAGAAAATAATAAAAATGGATTTATATGTAGTCTAAGTCTCTAGTTTCCTTAAATTTCTTTTTCTAAATATAGGGCAAAGTATGCTTGAATTTGACTTTTTTTTTTTTTTTTTAATTTATTTTTTTTTAACATTTTATTAGGGGCTCATACAACTGTTATCACAATCCATACACACATCAATTGTGTAAAGCGCATTTGTACATCGTTTCTCAAAACATTTTCTCTCCATTTAAACCCCCGACATTAGGTCCTTATTTTTCCCCTCCCTCCCCGCTCCCACCTCCCGCATGAGCCCTTGATAGTTTATAAATGGGTATTTTGTCATATCTTGCCCAGTCCGACGTCTCCCTTCATCCACTTTTCGGTTGTCTGTCCCTCAGGGAGGAGGTGACACACAGTTCCATGTAATCGGTTCCCTCTTTCCTACCCATTCTCCCTTTACCTTCCCTGTTTTGCCACTCACACCACTGGTCCTATAGGGCTCATCCGTCCTGGATTCCCTGTATTTTCAGTTCCTATCTGTACCAGTGTACCTCCTCTGGTCCAGCCAGTCTTGCAAGATAGAATTCGAGTCATGGTAGTGGGAGCGGGGAGGAAACCTTTAGGAACTAGAGGAAGATTGTATTTCTTATCATTGTTACATCGCACCCTGACTGGCTCATCTCCTCCCCGAGACCCCTCTGCAAGGGGAGAATTTGACTTTTAATGTACATATTTTCTGTCATAAAAAGTTTATAGAAACTTAAGGTTATAAATCTTAATTAGCTTTAAAATGTGTTTTGTGGCATAAATTGTCTTTTAAAAAGGTATTCTCCTGCCACCAGAAATACTTATTTAAATTATAGAGTTCTTAAAAGAGAGAAATCAGAGTCTTAATGGACAAAATTGTAAAACCAAGTGATCAGGCAGGATGAATGTAAGGATACATGAGCTTGAGGCAGGGGAGAGTGTTGTGGGCTGGACTGGGTAACCGTAACTGTTGGAAACCAGGTCCATGTAACTTGAGAGAGACGCAGGTAATAATTGGATAAAAAGGTGTGGTCTGCTGTGAAGAGGGGCTCTGATGTCAAGAATTTTTGAGTTCTTTCTGAAAAGTGAGAGTTTGTATTGAAGCCAGGGATTTTAGTCTGAGGAAATCTTATAGAAGAGCCTTCCCTATCTAGCAAAAACACGTTTTAAGTACTGTAAACTATCAGGTAACATATTTGTGACCATTGCATATCTATCAAATGGAATGTCTAAACACAGTTTATTAAAAAAATTGATAAATTACTGCTTACTTTTAAAAATGTCTTTTAAAAAACTAGTCTGTTTAACATTAAATGACTACTAGACATGAAACAAGAAAACGTTTTCAGAAGTTTTTCTTCCTTGGCCTCTAGATCTTCAGGGTAGCTGCCCTCCCTTTGGGGGCTGACCATGGTGCTCCCTTGACACTGTCCATGGTGCTGACCAGTGAAATTGTAGTAGGTTGGTCTTTTCTGTATGGAAACATGGAATTGAAATTAAGAGGAACTTGAAAATGATGATCAGTAATGGAAATATGTTAATAAGCTTGTTTAAATTTCTTGGTATAAGGATAATACCATACATATATGTGTGTGTATGTAGACATTCACACCTTACCACATTACAGTGTTATTTTGGAGTTTGTAATGCCCCAAATTGTATCACACTGTACATGCTCTTCAGCATGCTTTTCCTGCGCTATTATGTGTTCATGGGCCATCCGTCTTTATTAAATATACACCTTTTTACTGTAATTGCCATCCAGTATGTCACATTATGAACTTACCATCTTTTAGTCATCATTCCCCCGCCGGTTAGCAGGTTTTCAGCGTTTGACTGTTATGAATAATGCTACCCTGAGCTCTCCTTACAGAAGTGCTCTGTCGTCTTTTGGGGACAGAAACACCAGCACATACAGTTGCTGGGTCACCCTGGTCATGTTCACATTAACATGTAAACTTCCATCTTCACTATCTGGGGAAACTGCTCAGCCCACTCACCTGTGAACGTTGCTCAGCATACGCCCTGGGCTTTTTAGAAAATGTTAGGAGAACAAAGCCTACTGAAGTGAAGGCAAGAGCTTTGAACTTATTTGAACTTAATCTATGATCTTTAGTGCATTATCCATCTCTTACTTTAGTTTTCTTTGTTATTTTACTTTTGAAAATGTTTATCTTAAAAATATATGTATTCTGTTATAACACAGCCATCCGAAATATAAAAATCTCCATTCAAAGAATTTATAGAAAATCTTTGTAAGTAAATGGCAGGAATATAAGAAAGATATTTGAACAGAAGTTAGAGTTTAGTTGACAGGACCAAGACCAGCCTCCTCAATTTATAGATGTGAAAACTTAAGACACAGAAAACTTAAATTATTTCCTTAGCTGCTGCTTCTAGTTGCTGGTCAAGTCTGTTAAAACACGCAAAAGCAAACTCCAAAGGTCGCAGGAAGAGAACAGCTTTGCAAACCGCTGGAATCTTTGCAGACAGCTCATCCAGTCGAGCAAACGACAGCTACACTGAGTGACTTTTTGGTCTGGCTTCTTGCTCTTTGACCACACTAACTCACAAAAGCACTGGGCTCTTGTCCAAAGCAGACATGAAAAGCGATCTTCTTCTGTATTGTGGGCCTTTGCGAGAATTGTTGACGCCTTCTTAACCAGCGTGGTTGGGGCTGGTAGCTCAGTGAAGAGAAAGAGTTGGTTTTCTTGGGGGCTGTATTGTTGTCCATGCAGAAACATCCCCCGTGATTTCCTCATGGGTTTCTCTGCAATGCACAGGGACCTGAGACCCTTGAGAAGCCACTGGGCATGCAGGGTACTGGACTTTTTCTGAATTTTTTCCTCAACCTTTTACAATGCTTTTGCCCAGACATAATTAACGGTCATTTAAAAAAGAACTCTTCTTCAAGTTTTCCCAAAGTACTTACTTTAGTTTTATAAACATTCATTCTAGAGTGGCAAGATGTTGAACAGTTTTTATACTCAGCTCACCATCTTCAAGTTGATTCTAACGCTTGGTGACCGTACAGGACAGATTAGAGCTGCCCCTTTGTGTTTCCGAGGCTGTAAGTCTTTATGGGAGCAGCAAGCCTCATCTTTCTCTCGAAGAACAGCTGGTGGGTTCAAACTGCTGACCTTGCAGTTAGCAGCCCAACCTGTGCCACCGGGGCTCCCATTTTCCATACTAGTTCATTGTATTGCCTCGCTCCTCCAACTGGCGTACAGAGAGTCGAGAATGAGCTTAGTTGACTTGGGATACGCAGCGACTCCAGGGTGCGCGAGGCCTCCGAGCTGAGGACCCGATGAGGTGCAAACAGCCTGGGACAGAAGAGACGGATGGAAGTTTGACATTCCTACCGGCAAGTCCGCTCACCAGAATTTGGTGACAGGAAGCATCTACTGTGACCCTTGGGGGCCATTGGCAGACTGGGACAGTGGTCTTCAGGGACCACAAGGGACAAGTAAAGTTCGTGTGCCTTCGGCCCTCCTGGAGGCTCTTGTTTTCCAGGCATGAGAGCATAATGGCGTTGTCCTGCTGGGAACGCAAGGACAAGGACCTCCTTGAACTTCCCTGGGTAACTTAGCTTGCCTGACCCTGCCATCGTGGCCCCAGAGCAATACCTGCACACCACAATGAAGTTTTTTTGCTTTAAGGCTTTGTAAATTGGCATTTAAAACTATACTTTCTAAGCTCATTTAACAGCCAGACTCTGTCCACCTCCCCTAGAAGTGCTGTTAGCGGGGAGATCGGTTGTTTCCCTTTACCGGTCCATGAGTACGTTTAGTACCTAACAGACCCTGGCAGATGCTCTGTCGACAAAGGGGAACAAAGACATGGTTATTACCCTGCCCTGCATGTTGTCTGTCTAGAACTTACTGTAGTTCTCTGGGCAAAGTAGGTGCTCAGGGAATATTTTTGTAGTATTACACGGCTTTTGGAAGAAATCCCGAGTGAATGTTGTTCCTCACACCGCTTTTGTCCTGCATCCTGCAACGCCAGGGCCCAAACATCCTCCCGTCTCTCCCCTTAGCTCTCTCTGTGGTAAAGGAAAGCCTTGCCTGAAACAGCACATTCTGCCACTCCACAGGGGTCATCTTGGCTTCTGGGCTCTGAGAAAGGGGGGTGCTTCGCGCTCGGTACTGGGGCGGGCGCCACCCATCGTGTTCTGATGAGTCCGGATGGGGAAGAAAGCTGCTAAGGGAGTGTTTGCCTCCCTGTAAGTCTGCCGCAGTGCCTCTCTAAAGAAGGCCATAGGCCAAGTGCTGTTATGGTTCATTCATGTGGGACTTGCGGTGACGTTAAAGTGCAGCATGTACGTGGTGTCCCTGTGATTGTTTTTCTTTTCTTTTTTTCAATGTATCTCTCTCTCCTTAGTCTCCTTGTATACATTTGACAAGGCCAAACAATGCATCGGCACAATGACCATGGAGATTGATTTCCTGCAGAAAAAAAACATCGACTCCAACCCTTACGACACTGACAAGATGGCGGCAGAGTTCATTCAGCAGTTCAACAACCAGGCTTTCTCTGTGGGACAGCAGGTAGCGGCCCCTTTTCGTTCCTTCCTCTTGCTTTTCAGCACTTCCCCGAAATCCTGGCTGCTTTGTTCACCTGGAGAGGAGCTTTGTAGATGACCAGGTGAATCCAAGAGGGCAGTGAAAATGTAGGGAAGCCCCTTCCTAGCCCGCCAAGAGTGATCATCCTGCTCTCTGTCTCTTTCCCGTCTGCCCTTTCATTCGCCGAAAAACCAAACACATCGCTTTAGGTAAGACAAGACTGGCTCAAGCCTAAAGAGGAATTTTTTTTTTAAGAGGAATTCTAAAATGACTTTTAGATTACAATGTCATATATAATAATGGCAACCTTTCCTCCAGGAATCTGGGGAGACTGCAGACTTCCAGATCTCAAGTTTTTTACTTATTTCTTTTTTTATTTTTAAATCATTTTATTGGGGGCTCGTACAACTCTTATCACAATCCGTACATACATCCATTGTGTCAAGCACATTTGTACATTTGTTGCCCTCATCATTCTCAGAACATTTGCTTTCGGAGAGCAAATGTTCTGAGAATGATGAGGGTAACGAATGTACAAATGTGCTTTATACAATGGATGGATGTACGGATGGTGATAAGAGTTGTATGAGCCCCCCAAAAATGAATTTTTAAAAAATTGCTTTTTACTTGAGCCCTTGGTATCAGCTCCTCATTTTCCCCTACCCCCCTGCCCCCCTACTTATTTCTAGTAAAGCCCCCCTGCACCTCTTTTTTGTTTTTGTTTCCTGGGGTGTCTTCTTCCTTTCACAGATGTGTTTTTTAACCCTTTTTTGGCTTAAGGACCTCTATCAGGATCTTAAAAAATCATGTGTTATTGTTTTCAGATTTTTCTCATGTAAAACACTAATTGGCTGCTAGTCCCCCCTTTGGGATTGAAGTCAATATGATACTGTTGGAAGAAATACTGTCCTTTTAAAACGTGAGTGCCTGAGAATTCCTGGCTGCTCTGTACACACTGAGGGACCAGCCGTTGCTCCTTTGACCTTGTCACGTTTGTCTCCTCATCTGGGACTTCCCTTACTCATTCCTGCCCCTCCTGCCCTCACTCCATCAGTGGCAGAAGTGGTCCCGACGTCCCCTGCAGTCCTGGGTTCCTTTCAGGGAGTCTGTGGTGCCCCAACTATTTCCATAGAAACACCATGACGTTTTCTGTTGTTTTCCAATCCTCTCGAGTGTACGATGGAGTTTGCTGGAAAGGACTGGCCACGCAGCACACTGACTGCTACAGCCAGCCGACCCACCATCCGGCCACCCCCCGGGACACCAGACACAAAGGCTGGGGAGAGACAGCCACAGGGCCACCAATTAAAGATATGCTTTCTATTTACACATAATGGATTTCTTATCATTATTTTTAAGTGCATCTACAAGTACCTTTTTGGTAGTGTTTCCTTATTCCTAGCTTTGTGGAAATTCTCATATATGGTGAGCATCAGTAGTTACATACCCACATAAACACCAGCCCTTTAGGGTCTGGAGAATCAGGAGTCTGAAGGGGCCTGAGACGGAGCTGCTCTGTATCCTTCCGATCGATGGCTGTTGGCTTCCCTAGACTGCTCTCGTTGCCGCTCACCTGGGGAGTGAAGTAAGCCAGTGGTGGAGAGAAGCTGTGGAAGTTACAGAGCTATTGAAGGGAAGCTAGCATCAGTTCCTCCCATTCATTCTCCCGCTCCCGGAAATGGCATCAAGTCTAGATTCTAGAAGAGCAAGAGTCTGAGGATCCGGAGAATCCCACATTCTAGTATCCACCTTTTCCAAGTGGCAGCTGAAGAAAAAGAACACAGTCCACATAATCATTTAATGAGTACCTGAACTGGAATGGACCCAAGATTATCTCTCTAACCTCCTCATTTCACAAGTGAGGAATTTTAGGTCCAGAAAAGGTATGTGACCTACCTATGGCTACATAGGCAGGGCCACTACTGAGACCAAAAGCCGTGAATCTGTTGGTCCATTAGACAAGTATTTGTTAACACCCGGCATGTTCCAAGCATTGTTTTAAGCAGTGTGGCTCAGCAGTGAACACCATGGTGGAACGAGGCCCCCAGACTTGACTTTACATAGGTCACCCCAGAGGGCTCTCAGAGTGACGTTTCACTGATAGCTTGTTGACTGCTTATCCATTCCTTCCAGAAGCTTCAGTCTTTTTTGACTGTTGATTGTGTCCAACTTGCCAATGAAGCTTACTTCATTATTTTTACCCTTTCTAGTTTTAATATATTAATAGGAAGCATTTTTGATCATTTAACAATATAAAATGATTAATTTAAAAAGTAATACAATGAATCAGTAGTTAAAAAACCAGTCACATGCAGATATGTACCATCCATGAAGAGAAGCTCTTCCAGAAGGCAGAGGGGGGAAGTGCCTTTCTGGGAAGCACTGTTCTTCGGCTTCATTGCTGCTTGGCATCCTTAGAAGGAGCCTGGTGGTGCAGTGGTTGGTAGTGTACTCAGCCGCTGAATGAAAGGTGGGCTCTTTGAGCCACCAGCAGCTCCGTGGAAGAAAAGCCTTGGCAATCCACACCTGTAAAGACCCGTGGGGCAGTTATGTGTCACTGTGAGTCAGGATGAACTTCACAGCCTGCCCCACCCCCGGAGGTCACCATGTGTGAGAACGGACCCGACAGCAGTGGGCTTGGGGGCTTGTGCTCACAGTTGTGGTGGGTTAACAGACAGCTCAGCCTGTGAAGCGTCTTGCTCATCAGGACACAATAGATACTGGGAGAATGAAGGGTAGACCCTTCCAAAGCTCCTCCTGCACCTGTACCGAAAAACCACACTCGGTGCCATGGAGTCGATGCCGACTCATAGCACCCCCATAGGACAGGGTAGAACTGCCCCTGTGAGTTTCCAAGACGGTCACTCTTTATGGGCATAGAAAGCCCTGCCTTTCTCACTCAGGGCGGCCAGTGGTTTCCAACTGCTGACCTTGTGGATCACAGCCCAGCTTGTAACCACTACGCCACCAGGGCTCCGCCCTGTACCTGTAGGACAGGCCTTTGGGGACTGGTTGTGGAGAAGGATGGAGTTCTGAGTCACAAACCCTGGCTTGACCCCTGGGACTGTCATTGATGGAGACTCTGGATCACATTGCTTAACCCGTTTTTCCCCGGGGCTCAGCTGCCTCATTAGCACAGCTGCAGAGGGGTCTGCTTCTGGAGCATCTCTGAATATCGAGTGGTAGGATGCACACCCCCTCCCCCCCGTAGATGTTGGCATTTGGCAAACCAAACCCACTGCCCTGGAATCAACTCCGACCCTTAGCCACCCCTCTGTAGGGAGCAGATGAGTCCCATCGTTCTCCCTCGGGGAGGTGGATGGGTTTTAACTGCCGACCCTGCCCTTGGCAGCCCACCTATGCCAACCCACTGTGCCCGCACAACTTGTGGTGCCTGGCAGGCACTCGGGTATCAGTGCCCTTTTCCTCTCGTTACCTGTGGGACAGATGTAGAAGGGATAGCAGGAGAAGGCGCCTTTTCTGCATTTGGAAAACAGTGATGTTGAGACCATCAAGCCATCCTATCATGAAGTGATTTTCCCCCTGTGTCTCTTTTCTGCCCAGCTTGTGTTTAGCTTCAATGAAAAGCTGTTTGGCCTCCAGGTGAAGGATATTGAAGCCATGGATCCTAGCATCCTGCAGGGGGAGCCCGCCACAGGCAAAAGACAGAAGGTGTGGTTTTGCTTTGATCTGGGAATCTGAGCCATCTTTGATAATGTGAATTCTGTAGCTAAGCAGAATTTTCCGGCCCATTCTCTTACACATCAATTTATGTAAAGTTGTTAAAATATATTTATTTGGAGATCTGATGGAAATTTGAAAATCGCACATATATTTGTAATCATAGTTGAATACGGACACTACTTACAGTAACATTGTTAAAAGGTCCTTAGCTAAGCAATAAAAAGGCATTGGCGACAAAATATGTTCGTTGAAATAAACTACGGGGTTGGAGGAGGTAGCTTTGAGAGAACTACCTGTAACTCATGCTAATTGGGAAGGCGTGCTTAGTTAGCACAGATAGACCTGGCTTCCCCTTCCCTTTTAGCCTTGTTTTGAGAAGCTGCAGGTCTGTTCATAGACTAACTAGCTGTTGTCTTTCTATACAGATTGAAGTAGGACTGGTGGTTGGAAACAGCCAGGTTGCATTTGAAAAAGCGGAGAACTCGTCACTCAGTCTGATAGGTAAGATGACGGTTTTCACAACATTCTGCCTGATGTGGGGAGATCTGTGCTGTGTGGGACTCGGTGGTCGGTGGGCACCTTTCACTCGGAGAAGGAGAGGCCACAGCAGCTTGAACGGAGTCCTTATAAAACCATGGGATGTTCACACCTATTAGATATGCTGCTGTTCTAGGGGCCTGGGGAACCTTTTTATTTGCCAAGGGCCATGTTGATATTTGTGACATGATTCATGGGCCGTACTGGTCAAGCATTTAATTTGCTCACCCCTCATGTGCTGGCTGGAACTGCTTCTCTTTGGTGAGGCGTGTGATGTTAGTTGGTATTGATGATTTCTTGGGCCTCAAAGGGCCTGAGAAGGAGCCCTGGTGGCAGCGTGGTTACTCTTTGGGCTGCTAACCTCAAAGTCAGCTGTTCAAAACCACCAGCCAGCTCCTCAGGAGAGAGGTGAGACTTTCGACTTTCAGAGTCGTCATTAGATCAGCCCTGCCCAATGGAAATACAATGTGAGCCTCATATATAATGGCTAACTTCCTAGTAGCCACATTGAAAATAAGGAACAGGACCAGATCAATGTAATTTTATTCCAAGTTGCAAAAAAGAGTCGAGAGTTTCTGTATCCCTCCCCCTAGCCCACCCTGATAGTAGCATCTTATGGAACCTCGGTACAGTTAGCAAAACCAAGCCATGGACATTGTTCCAAGTCAAATTTGTACACATTTTGTTTTAATTCCTCCATTTCAATCCCCTCATGGTTTGAACTATAAACTATCCAAAATCCTCCCAGTGTTTCCATATAAGTGTTGCTCTTTTGATCATACGTATGTGTTGCTTCTAAGAGGGGTGTGAGTTCACTTCCAGATGTGAAGGTTATCTGAGGGTCATAGTCTTGGAGGTCCCACCAGTCTCTATCCAACCAATAAGCCTGATCTCATGTCACATTTTTTGCCCGTTCTATCCAGGATGGGGCCTTGCTCAGAGCAGTTAGTCGTGGTTTCAGGGTTGTGGAGACTGATATGTGCTTGGTCTTTTAGTCCTTTGAACAAATTCTTTCCTTGTGTCTTTGATGGTCTCACTATCCTCTGGACGGGGAGAGACCAGTATTTGCACCTTGGATGGCTGCTCACAGTGTACATTTTTAAAATGTGACTGTTTTCATGCTGTAAAACATGTGCTTTTAAGGAACCTAATCAATGCAACATAATTTTTAATGGCACACTATATATAAGGATCCCTGGTGTTGCTGTAATTTAAACTCGGCCACCAACCTCAAGTTCAGCAGTTTAAACCTCAGGACCAAGAGCAGACTGTCTGCCCCTGGAAAGATTTACAGGCTCAGAAGCCCCGTGGGGTTGCGAGGAGTCCGGCCGACTGGATGGCAGCGTGGCAGGTTACTCTCAGCAGGTTGGTGTGTTGTTGTCTTTGGAAATAGAATTATCCAGTGACTTAGCCAGATATAAATTTGGCCTCGAGGGGGCAGTAGAGTATAAGAAAACTGACAGCTTCATCAAGAAAATCTTGGTTCACCAGATTCCAACTGTACAGTTGCCCAGGGGTTAGCTTTTTCCCTGGTTTAATAAAAGCGATACTGGTTTTTGTTGTTTCTTTACAGCTTTTGTACTGGGGTGCTCGGGTTTTTGTGTTTGACACAATAAACGTAGTTCTCCTGAGCGACTTTAGGAGGCACTCTGACATTGTCGCCTCTTGTGAAAGAATTTATAACCAAGGGTTTTGGCATGACTGAAATCTTGAGATTATTGTAGACTTTTGCGTGCAAATGGAGAAAAACAATTAAGCAGTCAGGCTTATTCAGTAGCTCTTCTCTGGCTGTGGGGCTGTCCACATAGTTGTAAACTTCTCTCCGTAAATACTTGTACTCTGAAATACATTTGCTTCGGGAGCCCTGGAGAACTGCTGGGCTTCATTTGGATTTCTGGCAACTAGTGTTGGTTGTCTTCATCAGCTATGCACATGGTGTTGCTTCTAATTAAGTAACTTAATTAACTTGATTAGGATGAAAGGGTAAAAAGAGCAACTTCCCTGGATTAGCCACAAATTAGTCACAGGATGAGTTAGCTGGACACTTGGAAAATGTTCCGGGTCAGAAGTAGGGACCAGACAGAGTAGGGGCAGAGCAGGACTCTTCCTTAGTGGGATAGCAGCCGGGAGCTTGCTCTTCTCCTCGTGGCCTGGCCGCCAGCTCCTCCGTGTGCCCTGAGGGTGCCCAGGAAGTGGCTCCTCTTGCTGGGGACATGCTCATTTCACAGCTGATGCTTTGTGTTTGCTTTTAGGCAAAGCTAAAACCAAGGAAAATCGTCAGTCCATCATCAATCCTGACTGGAACTTCGAAAAAATGGGAATAGGAGGCCTGGACAAGGAATTCTCCGATATTTTCCGGCGAGCGTTTGCGTCTCGAGTTTTCCCTCCAGAGATTGTGGAGCAGATGGGTGAGTGTGGCCAGGCCGGTGCTCCTGTTGGGGGAAAGTAATGCGATGAAGACAGACTCGCTGTTCAATAACGTTTTGTGATTTTTGTTGTCAGTCTGCCAGAGTATTTTCCTGTTGTAACGCCTCCCTCCCCCCCTTTTAAAAATACATACATTTCCACAAAACTCCTAAAATTATTAGAACATTTGGAATTAAATGTGAACTTTATAGGGAAATCATAAAAATTATATCCATGGTTGTCCCATTTATTTTATCTAGAAGGGTTTCTGTTGGGTACAGAGAGAAACCCTGCCTCTACCAACCGGTATGGGTCAGATTTCTCCTGCCGCAGAACCATCAGCTTTGTTCTAATATTAACTGTTGCCCCTTTTTTTGTGCTGTTGTTTTGCCCAATTGGTGCCCATTCACACCTAGTTCAGTGGGCACCTGACATATTTGTTAATTAGCTAAGTTTGATCCAGAAAGGCCCTTGTAGACTGTACGAGTGTCACACCCAAAGAACTGCCTCGCTCCTTTATCATTTATCTCCGGTGGGAATGCTGTCAGGACTCTCCAGATCATCAGCTGAACTGGAATGTGAGCAACAGGATCATCTAAGAAAGGCATTTGTAACATAGCAGCTTCTGGCAGAAAGCAGTCTCCCCAAACCTGAAGAAGGCATGGGAATACATTACTCCCCTCGGCCCCCTCGGCCTTTGTTTTGAAATTGCTACTGGGAGAGAAAGGTACAGTCATCATGGGGGGGGCGCTGCGGGGTCAGCACTGCTTTCTAGGCACTAAGTACTTGGGGTGGATCAGCCCCTATTGTTGGCAGCTTTTCTGCCTGGTCGCTCACAGTGATAAGTTACAGACGCAGCACACACCTGTTTGCTGGGTAAAGGTCGAGTTTGGAATTGGATGAAGAGAAAATGACAGCGCCCCTCATCACCTGAGTTTCATACACCTTTAAATGGCAATGACAGCCTCTGGGTTTTTTTTAATCTGAAAGATATAAAGGCCAAGTCCTTTTTTTTTTAACCGCAGAGTTTTAATTTGGGAAATAGTAAAAAATACACTACCTGGGCAATGTGCATTCTGAGGCACAGTAGCTCCCCAAGCCTTTCTGATGCCGACATGGAAATGTGCTTGCCGCTATTTGGCTTGTCAGTAGAGATCACAGGATGCTCCCTAATTCGCTGACTTCTTCCTGTGGCTGCTTTTTGTTGGTTCCAGTGGCAGAGGGGTCTGACGATTGCTTTTTTGCACGTTTGTATTCTTCTGCCAACAAGTAGAAAAAGGACTGCCTCGGTCTTTGAGCCTCCTTGTTTAATGATCAACACTCTCCTCTCGCTTTGGCAGCTGGTGACAAACCAGTGACTCACACTCAGGCCTCCCCTGCCACCCGGCACCTTTCAACGTAAAGCAAAGGTGAAATCGCCCCGGGAAAAACTGGGGGGCATTCCCAGACTTCCAAAATAACCTGCTAACACCTAAAGAGCAATGCATAGAACATGCTATCCCAGACTCAGAAAGCTTGCTATTGAGATGTAGGTCCCAGGGCAGGAGCCCAGCCACGCCACTCTTGCTGCGCCCAGAACAGACAGAAACCCAGATTCACTTCCACTCTTTTTCTTAAAAGGGGATGCTATCCTCTGTGGGTCTTTTTCTGGCTCTCGTGTAGGTCTTTTGTTACGATGTAGAGGAGTGGAGTGAAGAACATTCAGGAAGATGAGAGTACCTGTCCTGTGTGTGTGCACTGGGCCTCTGTCTGAGACCAGACCATGTGCAGAGCCCACCAGTGCGGTGCGTGGTGTTTGCAGCCTGTGACATTCAAGATGAAATTCAGACCCCCCAGGGCCCGGACTACCTCCGGCGGCCCATGCTGCTGTTGTCAGGGGAGAATGCAGCTGAACGTCACCCATGGGGTGACCACGGCAGTTTGTTTGAGGGCCATGGGTTGTATTTTGTTTGCCAGTGCTGCAGCCCAGAACCTTGTAGAAAGACTTGCCTTTCTAATAGTTTCACACCCAGCTAGCTAGACTTAGAATTAAGTGCTTCCTTTGGTGGGGGGATGGGGGTGTTGGAAGGACACCCCTCCCCCATCTGTATGATTTGTGTCATTTAGAAGCATGTGCTCTCAATTTGATTTTAAAACAAGTGTGAAGCTCCCGCGGCCTCAGAGCCAGACTGACAGACTTCGTTCACCCGCCTCGCCTCCGGCTGTAGCTCCGCATCTCCTACAGCTCCATTTCCCTGGTGAGACAATGGGGAGTAATTCTTTTGCTCTCCCTGTGTTTTCAATAGAGGCGTCTTGTTCCCTGTGAGTTCTGAGGCAGTCGGTAGAAGGACTGCGGTTATCAAGTTCTCCTGATGAGGCTCAGGGAGAGGCATGAGCCAGCGCACATGGCTCCATTTGAGCAGACTACCACCCAGCCGCACCAGCCCTTTCTGTACATAACCTGTGCCTTTACCTTGCCAGGGGCAGCCCAGTGGGCGGGGGTTTCTGCAGTGCATTCAACAGACAAGTCTGTAAGGTTTGAGCATTTGCCAGACACAGCGCCTGCTGGTTAAATCAATTAAATCAATGGAAAGAGGAAATAGTGATTGAAAAGGAATAACTTACGTAGCTTATGGATTTTTGTTTTGTTTAGGGCTTGAGACCAATTTACTGCCCCTACTATGGAATCTGGAGTCATGGCTTCTTTGTAAAAAGAAATCCTAGCCACTGGGCCTTTTTGCCAACAGAGAAAATTTCCCAATTCACAAAGTGATAAAGATAGAATTTTCTTCTCTTCTGGCATTGTGTTTATGACAGATAAGTATTATACTTTTATGAAATGGAGTTCTTTCTTTTTTCTTGAACAGTCATGTTGCCTCTTCAAAATCAAAAATACCATTTCCTACAGAACGCCGAGGATGAGAGAAGGCCCTGTGACTCAAATAGAGGCGCCCTGTCGGGTGGCAGAGTTAGAGATCAGTGGGGGTGAGCTGCGTGCCCTTGGGTTCCGCTGCTAGCTTCTATCTTGAAGTGCTTTCAGGTGCTTTAGTTCCCTACAGCACCGTCCTGCTTCAGCTACAATATTTCTATAGAGTTAAAATCAAGGAAAACTTTAAAAGGAAACAGAAGTCTCATGACACATTACAGGTTGGTGGGGTGTTTTTGTATGTGGGGAGTGGATGGAATAAAAGTCATGCCTAGAAACAGGATGAGGGATCATTTAAGTTAGGTTTCTGTTGCTCATATTTTCACTAGTTCGTGGTTTAATGTTCTCTGGTCTGTAACATTTGAGGTTGCCTGGGCCTACGTGGGACAGGTCTTCCCTGGAACTACAAGGGGGCTTCCCAAAGTCCATGAGAAAATTCCATTATCTTTTCCTTTCCTTTTCCACAAGCTCCTACAAGTCTCCCCATACGTGAAAACAGTGACATGGGAAACTAGACCTGTGGTATACTGGACACAAATCGGCTCTTCGTTAAAATGTCCACCAACGTCTGCAAGAGCCGTTTCATTAGGAGCGGCCTCCGGTCAGTTTAGGAGTACTGGAAGCTCCATTAAGTCCCAGGGTGCATATGAATGTGGGCACCGGACGCTGGTGGCCGGGGGTAGGGGGATAAGTCCTGCAGCGGATGGCGGTCTCTGAGCAGACCCATGTACCCATGGGACAGCGAGCCTTCTTCCTGCTCAGACACCTGCACGTGTTTTCCTCTGCGAGCGGGTCTGTGCTGAGGGCTCCTTTTATCGACGCTGTTGGCACAGCTAGAGAAACTGCCAAGAAAGGCCTTTGTCAGCATGTGACCTCAACACTAAATGTCAGAGCGAGACCTCCTCCTCAAAGAACAGTGAATCCTTGTTGGATAAAGTGTTGCTTCATGTCATCTGGGGACCAGGTCCACGTCTCCCCAAGGAGAGTGGCTCTGGCAGAAGTCACCCCGTTTCGGGCTAGAAGGACAAGGGTGTTAAGATGCAAAGCCACCAGCCTCACGCGGCCTTCAGGTGGATTCCATCACCTGTCGGGGTCCAGGTGACCTAGTGGTGGGAAGGGGGTGTCCGGGCCACACGTCAGGCTCTCACACCCTCAGTCTTAGAAACTGACCGTTTCTTTTTGATCCCCTTTCCCCTGAGCCCCTCTCTGAATCATTTTCAAGTCTGCGTTTTGAGGGTTTTTTCTGAAATTTTAGAGCAACAATTCTCAACCTGTGGTTCACGACCCCTTTGGGGGTTGAACAACCCTTTCACAGGGGCCGCCCAATTCATCACAGTAGCAAAATGACAGTGATGAAGTAGCAACGAAAATAATGTTGTGGTTGGGGGTCACCACCACACGAGGACCTGTAGGGAAGGGTGGCGGCGTGAGGAAGGTTGAGAACCACTGTTCTAGAGGGAAGCTGCTCTCCCGAGTGAAATGGCGGTTCCTCTCCCAAGTGGAGCTGCTGGGAAGCCAAGGAGCCATCTTCCCGTGCTGAGCACAGAGCAGGGAAAGCAGAGAAAGGACACCGGGGTTTGACATGCCATCCTCAAGAGGGATGGAGCTCTTGCTACGATTACCATAGACTCTTAAAATGCATTTTCACACCCCCACGTGTGCAGAGAGATGGCATTTTACATGGGGGTTAAGACATCTAGCCGAACTCCGGGCGCTGCAAAGGGAACCCTCAGGCTAAAGAGCTTATCTGAAATTTGAAAAAGAAAAAGGGGGAGGGAAAAAAAAAGATGAAGCTTTCTGACATTCATCGTTTTTCCTTGTATTAGTCATAACTTGCTTTTCAGCTATATTTTAGCTTTTGAATGCCAGCATGACATCTGCTCAAGTCTGCCTGTAATTTATTAGGAAAGGAAAAGAAAGCAGTCGCTCACTAGTTAGAGGTGCGGAACTTTCCCCGTCTGACTACCCCCGTTCTCAGAGACGAGGCCGGCTGTGAGGAATGTCATGCTTCTTGCTAATGGCAGCTCGGGGAGTTTATAACGCTTGGGGGGCTTGCTTTGGGTTTTTAATTAGAAAAAAAAATTAGCTTATAACTAT